TTAGGCAGCGCCATTGACATTAAACATTTCACAGCCTAGACAGCGCCACTAACAAAAAACATTCCACAGCCTAGGCAGCGCCACTAACATAAAACATTCCACAGCTTAGGCAGCGCCATTGACATTAAACATTTCACAGCCTAGACAGCGCCACTAACAAAAAACATTCCACAGCCTAGGCAGTGCCACTAACATAAAACATCCCACAGCCCAGGCAGCGCCACTAACATAAAATATTCCACAGCCTAGGCAACGCGACTTACAAAAAACATTCACAGCCTAGGCAACGCCACTAACATAAAACATTCCACAGCCTAGGCAGCGCCACTAACATAAAACATTACACAGCCTAGGCAGCGCCACTAACATAAAACATTACACAGCCTAGGCAGCGCCACTTACAGAAAATATTCCACAGCCTTGGCAGCGCCACTAACATAAAACATTCCACAACCTAGACAGCGCCACTAACATAAAACATTAACAGCCTAGGCAGCGCCACTAATATAAAACATTCCACAGCCTAGGTAGCGCCACTAACATAAAACATTCCACAGCCTAGGCAGCGCCACTTACATAAAACATTCCACAGCCTTGGCAGCGCCACTAACATAAAACATTCCACAACCTAGACAGCGCCACTAACATAAAACATTAACAGCCTAGGCAGCGCCACTAATATAAAACATTCCACAGCCTAGGTAGCGCCACTAACATAAAACATTCCACAGCCTAGGGAGTGCCACTAACATAAAACATTCCACAGCCCAGGCAGCGGCACTAACATAAAATATTCCACAGCCTAGGCAACGCGACTTACAAAAAACATTCACAGACTAGGCAACGCCACTAACATAAAACATTACACAGCCTAGGCAGCGCCACTTACAGAAAACATTCCACAGCCTAGGCAGCGCCACTAACATAAAATATTCCACAGCCTAGGCAACGCGACTTACAAAAAACATCCACAGCCTAGGCAACGCCACTAACATAAAACATTCCACAGCCTAGGCAGTGCCACTAACATAACACATTCCACAGCCCAGGCAGCGCCACTAACATAAAATATTCCACAGCCTAGGCAACGCGACTTACAAAAAACATTCACAGCCTAGGCAACGCCACTAACATAAAACATTCCACAGCCTAGGCAGCGCCACTAACATAAATTATTGCACAGCCTAGGCAGCGCCACTAACATAAAACATTCCACAGCCTAGACAGCGCCATTAACATTAAACATTCCACAGCCCAGGCAGCGCCACTAACTTATACAGCAGTGTTGATTGCCACGTTAAATTTACTGTTCATTAACGATATCACTCTACACTTAACACTAATGATAACAATCGTACATTTTATTTGAAAATTTACAAAAATGCATACGAAAAACTCACAGGTTTTGGCAAAAACCTACACAGCATATCTAAATTATAATAGAAAAGTAAATGATGTTGTAATCTTTTATTAGTATGATAGTGTTTTTTTCTTAGTTTAGAGTCAAATTCATCACAGAATTATGACGTGTATTTCATTTCTATTACCTATATCGGGTTTATCTGATTTAACAGTGACACAATGTGTTGTTTCTTCCAACTGTTCATGTTCCCTCAGAACAATGAAATGTAATTTGATATGTAAAAGTCTGAAATATTCAAAAACGCTTGTGCCACAAAACTTATTAATGTTCGATATTTATTCTATCCATTACATTAAGCAGTCTAGTTAACTAAATCACTATCATAGCTAATCGGCAGGGTGTCTTTGACCTCGTCGAGTTCCACATCAATTTCTCCATAAAGATCAGTCGGGACGATCGTCTCCTCGGACTGCTGGTCTAACCATCTTCTTCGCTAAATCGTAAAATATCTTTATGAGTGAAACTTATTTTACTACCTCAAATAGTTTTTTTTATTATTAGATTAAGACAAAATAGCGTTCATGCTTCTTTGTCTACTGAACTTTGCCGTGTGGACTTGATTATTATGAAATTTCTGATCGTACAATGAAATGTTAGTTGCCCCGATTTAAAAAAATAATGTTAAGGGCAACCTAAATTAAATTAATGAAATTTCCGTCGTTATTATTTTGAAATTTCCGAAATGTTTCTAAAATTCACCTCTTGCGATGCATTTAATTTACCTAACAATATTCATTCGAAATTAAACAAAGTAACCAAATATGAAAAGGGAAAAAAAAAGGATCTTTCTCCTGCCACACTTACACTTTTCCGATGTCGATATCCAGAAATTATGATTGCAGAGCACCAAAACGGGAGAGTAAGTGAGCAATTCTTGACCATAAAGACGCTTTTTTGTGTTGCTTCACCGATTAAATAAAAATAATGAATATTCCAGACCGAAAAAACACTTTTAGAGTGACGTTCATCTCCTTGATTCTAATGGCTACTTATCAATCGCTCAGGCGACTATAAATAGTGGAGTGTTACTCTGTCAGTATGACATGAGTGACGACATACATGTACCCAAACACAACAATAATCAGAAAAATGTCAACTGCTTACAATTTTAGAGAAAAAAAAATGCAAATACTCTGAGTGTAAGTCAGAATGACTATACATAAAATATAATAAAATAGTTATATAATTAAAAATTATTATCTAACATGTTTAAAGACTTCCTTCATGTAATTGTATTTAGGTGCTGTTAGAGAGACAGTAATGCATTTATGGTGTTAAATGGTCGAATATTTCATAAGGTGAAGCATTCATAAACTGTGTATTTCAATTCCAAACTTGATTTTGACAAAGAGAAATATCAATGCGGTTTGATGCAGTGTCTCATTTCTAGAATGTGACATTTTTTTCACTTACCACGAAATCAATCAGAATATCATATATGAAGCTCAATATATTCTTTGTGTGTATATAATATTTACCTTGTCGACCCCAAACTCTAACCACCGACGGGCCTTTTTTGGAAGGAAGGGAAACAACTGGTCCCCAATAGATAAAATGTATCTCACATCTACTTCATCTGGTGCTGGAAAACCTAAATATCAAATTAAGTAAGGTTCTACATTAAATACGATATCTATTTAAGACAAATCAAGGATTATTATGGGGCTATAGGGTATACAATGTATACCTAAAACACTGTGGATTTATGCAAAGTCATTTTTAGTATATACCATATAACCAACCAACAATAATTATTTGCTGACCCGTATAATTCAATTTAAAAGTCAGACATAATTGATTTGTTCATAACAAATGAATGCGTATAAATGATGTATTCATTGCTGATAAAAACAATAATGATTTAACACAAAAACACAACATTGCACAGTTTTTTTCATCGCTGGGCAACTTCAACCAATCAGAAGCCAGAATGATAAATACTATGCCAAACATCATTTCCTGTTTTGTCTACATTTAGGTAATACAATATTGGTTGAATAGCCATAATCAAATTATAACATTCTCTATCGCGTTACAGGGTCATTAGCGTTTTACAATATTTACATTATGAACATATGTATGTTATATATAATAAATATTACCGATCTCTACAGCAGTGCAAGCCATATGGGCTAAGCTGTAGTGTTTTTTGTGATGTGCAACTAAACGTTGAAATATAGAAAAAAAAATCTCAAATACTCGAAATTTAGACAATGTTATTATAACGCCAATTGTGATTCGGCAATGTAATATAGTTTATAAATAGTTTATAAATAGACATATTTATATTTTAATTTTCAAGAAATTTTAAAAACTGCAACTCAGCCTCGGTGATTAATAAGTGAATTTTGCTTCTATCAAAGTAAATATGAAATACAATGAAGTTACCCCTTGACTTATTTTGAGATACTAGGTTACTCTGTGTAATCTACAATGGCGCGCCTTATTTAAATTCGGAGTTGTCGTGTGCTTTCTGCCATGTGCAATAATCACTCGGCTACATGCATTTCTTACAGTATATGTATAGATTTAATCGGAATCCTTCGCTAGTTATATAATGTCTGAAACAGATTGACATGCTATTATTTGCATGGAACAATAGAGATTATGTTGAAGCATTTTTTGTTCGTATTCTACCTTATAGTTGTCATAAAGATTTATATACCCCTATTCTATTTTTATACATTTGTATACGCGTTGAAAATACATATTTTGACTAAAAACACTATGATTTATTTTTCATGTATTTGTGCCAGAATATTAGAGTGACTTTCTACACGGTATAATGGTTCGGCGTTTTGTTCATTAGCAAGATATATTTATAATATATACTTTTTTCTACTATAAAGAACTCTTATTTTCTCTAGCTGCTGTGGGAAAATACAAATTTTGAATATGCATTGACCATTTTTGTTCATTAGCAAGATACTCAAATAAAACAACACTTGGTATTTTTTTTCCCCTTTCATTTCCAGCTCATTTAAGGAGCTACAAACGCTTAACTACAAAATCTCAATATACACCGAATAAAGTTCATTCAACTTTAAAATCGTTCCAGAAGAACATCAATTATTTATAAAACTTTTACGTTGTATCATACTTCATGTCATTACCTGTCATCAGGCTTACGGTAGATCCTATCACAATCGTCAATAGTAGTCCCACGTCCCCAAACCAACGAAACGACAGGGAAAATAACTTGTCAATACCTTGTCTGGGTTGTCGAAAAGAGATAGGAAAGAGTTAATGACAAATCATCACCGAATTTATACTGTATACCAGGATTTTTTCGCCAAATAAAATGTACACTCTTCACAAGAATTAACCATATTCGCCCCGTGTTAGTATCGCCTCCTCAGTAATGCATATCATATTGTCTACTAATGTCCCGTTAATGCTACATTCGCCCTAATTATCATCACGGACGATATGAAATGATAACACATTTGAAATGTACACAAACAAGATGGAAATTGATGAGACCCCTGCGTAATTCTGTACGTTAGGATAATAAAACGACTGAGCTGTATGGTGTACATGTAAAATAGCATATACAGGTAACCCAGGCTGTGACACAAAACACTAGTATAAGTTTGAATAATTTTGAATTGATGACGTTATTATTGTTAATCATTCAATGTTCCAATCGACATTTCCATTGTGTATACACCATCGATATATAAACCACATTTTCATATTCAATACGCAATATGTAAAGTAATTACGCTTTGATGGTATTGAAGATTTCCATTTCTTTTTGGTATGATGTTATTCGTGAAGATGTGTTGCTAGGATGCGACGGATGTCAAGCTGATGAGTTGTAGCAAACAGTTGAATTAGTCATCAAAGTTGTGTTTGTGTAGAATGTCGAATCCAGAGAGCATTGATCTGTTGGGTTTGGTGGCAGCCAAGGCTCACTTGGTTTAGACGTGAAGAAGTTTTGTCCAAGGGATATCCAGAAAACAAATATCATCGATATTACCCCGCCGATGACGACACCCTGTAATACAGAAAACATGCTAAAATTGCATTTGATAAAAAGTGTTATTTAATTGGATGGACGCTTTTTATAAAACGTTTCAATAGTTTTTATTGAACCAGAACCATTATAAATGTGGCGTGATCAATGCAAGGGCAGTTCAGTATCTGTGAGTTTCAGTTTCATAGAATATGCAAAAGAGTTTTGCGAACTCTAATAAACATATTTAGTTTGAAATTATTTTGAATCACTTACGTTATCAAAGCTGTTGAAATTTTATGAAAGCTGACAAAATAAACCTTTTCAAAAGAAGAGAAAAAAACAAGACATAAAGCTTTCATTTTTTCCTTTACCACCAGTCCATGACGTATATCATTGATCTGCATGATTTCACAATAAATGCTATAAACAAGTTTGTTATGACGTAATAATACTTTAATTTTCTGGCCGACGGACAATGAAATACCGTTCAATATGATTATATTCAACAATGTACAATTATTCCTTTGTAGTGATGAACACCCATATCACGCATTTGTGAATTGTGTAGTACAACCCACCTTTTTAGTTGCCCATGGACAAAACATGGAAAAGAGGAACATGCCGGACAGAGGACCTCCAAAACAGGTAAGTATTGAAGCAGCTATCTGGAAAATATATGAAACTTTAAATGAAAATCAATATTTATATTAAGACGATATAAATGGTTCAGTAATATCAAAAGAAAAATCTTACATAACAATGCATCTTTAAGAAAAATGATAGTCAAAATTAGTCCTAATGTCCAGGTAATAATTTTAATGACAACAAAGTTGACCAATAATACAAAGTAAGTGATTGGCGACGAAGACATCAAGAGGACAGTATCAGCTCCGATGCGTAGATTGAATCTTATGTGAACGTAGGATGCAAAAGGCAATAGTATAAACCAATACCTGAAAGTATCACAAAGCTGTTGCAATAAAGCTTTATCACAACAACTAACGACGTATGTAAACAAAATCCACATTATTAGTAGAGAGTAACACATCATAACGTATAAAAATATGTTCTGGAATGGATTGTGGTGAATTTCGGGAGAGTTCTCCTTGAACCGTGGACCCCGCCGGCACGATATCTCGTCACCTCGCTGTGACGTATTGGTGCGGTCTCTTTATATCCGAACATTCGACAAGAACACACGTGAGTGATTTTCCTTCGCTTATTTTAATAGCTTTTGGGACTTGAGAGCAGTTCTCAACTACATGTTGTGACGGTTTGTGATAACACACCAAATTTACGTCAGTATCATTGAAGCGATTTTAATTTATTATTTTTCAATTATATCTACCGACATGTCCAGTCAGGTAATGACGGACCTCAAGTTTTACTTATAATAATGCCATAAGATCTTTTGTTTAAGTCCCTTTATACCATTTTCATGAAACAGTGTATTGTTACATGTACGTTATTTGTTCACTATAATTCCCGGACTCTTTCTGCTTTCAATCCATGAAAAAAATCCTTGTTTACGTCACTACCCCTGAAGCTGTAGTTGTAAATATCGGTTACGAAATGACGTAACAGGTTTACATAAGTGTATCAACACCTTTTTCATGTTGATATTATGTATGTTTAAATAAAACAAAGCCTAAGCTAAACTAATTATAGAAGCACCTAAGACAGTCGTGGTCTGTTTGTATGATTCCTGTTTATAGTGTCCCAGTTAAACTTTTGCCCTACGCCGATAACATACATATCATACTAACCGCTGTAATGATATATTCCACTTCTTGCAGGAGGTGAAAAAGGCAAAAGATAAATTGCGGCGAACATTTCCCTGTATAAAGTATTCTTTTTAAATTGCATATTATCCTATACCTGACTCATAGATCCCGAAACATTGGCTATCAGCGCTGTGACAGCGACAGACATCCCTCCGTAGAAAAAGACTGAAACATGCAACAATACTTATTTTGAACAATTTAAAATCACAGATATTATTAAAAAAATGTGTTGATATTTCATGAAACTATAGGGAGATTATCTTGTCGCATTGTAAGTAGACGATATCGTTTGCTTACTTGAAGAGTGACTGGGTCTTTGATTGATTGCGACATTATAAATAAACAGCTTTCCACCAATTGGTTGTCAGTTGATTCAGTAATGCATGTCCCCACTTAAACAATATAGTGAATATTTGGTAATATTTATCAAAGAAAAATAGTATCACCAGAAAGCATAAGTTGCAATGGCAAATCAGAAGAACGGTCAGAAAAATTATTTAAAAACCTTCTTTATTATACATTAACTTTACCTGATACTTTGGCAATCGCCGTGGCTTTTCCATCGGACATGTCATTATATCGGGGTTTAATGAAGTCTTGTACTGTCTGAGCACTTAGACAACTTAGTCCAGATGAAATTGTGCTGTAAAACAGATATTCTAATTCATTTGAGATGTAACACGACATTAGATTGTTCAATCAAAATAATATATGCAGTCTACAATTTTCTCATCTGCATAATTATGAAGCCCGGATGGCGATTGTTAATGCAGTCATTGACCCCGACTGACTCTGACACGTCATGAACTTGATTATTAATGACGTCACGAACAAAAGCATGACCCCGCAAGGTCAACGTAATTATGTCTCACTTTGAATATTCCTGACGTCACCATTCCACGGAGGAGAGAACCAGATATCTTAAAATCTTCTTTTTTTTTGGTTTTGTGAATTATATGTGGATAACCCTACTGTATTTTTATTTTTTGCGGCGGTATATCGTAATTATACTTAGTCAAATACCTGTTTTACTGGCTCCGCTCCGTGCTGCAAAAACAATTCAATTTGCGACAGTATAATCACGATATCCCGCCGCAAATCTCAAAATACAGTAGGGTTATCCCCTAATTACCAAGCCTGTGTCCTAAACGTGTCCGTTTAGTTTATTTAATTTAACTCAATAGTATAAACCCGTACCAGCCAATTTGCTTCTGGATATAAATCATAAGTAAACATTATTCTTTTGATATCTTTTATATATTCAACTTCCAAATATATTAGTTTGTTTAATTATATCCCTAGAAAGAATGCTCTACTGTCGTGTGATTACAGTTCGAAAACTGATACGCGATTGTTCTAATATTGACAAAAAAGGCAACTAGCTTGTGCAGGGCATTAACACCAGGTCTTACATATAACATAAATGTCTATATATTTTAGTACACGATTACACACTAGTCGCCCTTGTAAGTATCGAAATAATCACTAGGGATACACATATAAATTATCTCTGGTCCGTCGGCCAGAAAATCAACAGTGTCCGTTAACAGGCATTATGATATAATGTATAAATCACCACTGTTAAAGTATTTTATGTAACCTACCTTAATGAGGCACTGAACAAAGAAGCGAGAAACAGCCCGGAGAGTCCAGGAAGACCGTGAAATATCCTCACCACCATGTGGGGTAGCAACTGGAACAATTAAAAATAGGTACCTTTTTTTGTTGTTTAATTTCAAACCTTAGCCAATTTCGTAATATAAATTTATGTGCTTTTGAAATACTTTTTAATCAAATCATAGGGATTTTAAATCATGCTGACACTTACAATTTCTTTCTGAATTAAGCTCAAATAGCAATGATATCAATGACTTTACCAATTATTCTTAATGACGCGAAGACGTAATGATTTTTATTAATTTATGCATACCTGACTAGCATTCTTTATCTGACCTGATTCAATGGGATCTTAGCCGACGACATTAAAGTAGGCAAACATCACTAGACCTTCAATATTGACTATAAGGGCGATAATGAAGAAGGCTGGAGCAGCAAAATACATAATTCTGAAAGTAAAAACGTAATAAAACATGTACGCTTTCACATTTTTACCTGGTTAGATACACCCGATATGGCATGCAAACAATAAACCGCCACATTAGCATAAACAGAAACATAACAATTCAAGAACCACGTACACACATAGTAACGATAGTCGCTTTTGTTAAACATTTTCCTGCCCTTGTGATACCTCCCATTTCATTGTGATATAGAGATCCAGTGAATAAGGTGATAATGCAAAAATCCGGTGATATTGCAGTCAAACATGTAAAACTAATAGTTTTTGCGCTGATCAAATAAGTGGATAATCACTCTGTTTGAGCCTTTTTGGACGTTTACTTATAATTGATGGTCATTTAGATCTGCTTACAATATTGACATTATTTAATATCCGACCTAGTGACATGGCTGTAACCAAGTTTCTTTCTAAATTCTTCGTTAATACAAAGGTCAAGATAACGTGGGAGGTGCCAGGGATAGGAATTCTGAAGGAGACCATTCAAATTTATCAAACGCCATGAAAAAGGTCTTCTTACCGTTTGCCTTCTTGTAAAGACTTAACGGAACTTATCCTCTGAACCGTTGCCTGGTTGAATGCCATGCCGAAGGCCACTAAATAAAACCCTAAACACAGTGACCAGACCGTCTGTCGAACTGTCGGGTCTGGGTCAAATCTGGAATTGAAATAACAAGAGTTACAAACAACAATAATAGCCATTCAACATGTCGTACAACTTGTGAAAATTCAGTAATAATATAATATTAATAATAATATACAATATTTGATATAGTGACCTACCTAGCTAGAATAAGCCACTCTAAAGCGCTTTATATAGATATGCAATTTATACAATTAGGATATTCATTAAACAAGATCATAGTTAAAATACATGCTATTTTTGGGACAAACGTTAGACATTATCCACTCGGATGTCCCCAATTTAGTAAGCTATGAAGCAAGAGTATCATCAAAGAGTTGTCCCTGAAGTTATCCATCGACAGAAAAAAAATTAATTGGTCACTCCATTGACATAAGTATCAATAAAAAGATTCCACACAACGTATATTTTGTTTTAACAGGAGCTACCAATATAAAGCCTATCTTGCTAATTGAATCACCGATGCAATAGTTGTTTAACGTCAAATGGCTTCCAAAGCGAGTTGTTAAAGCTCGGCCGATACGATGAGGTTTTTTTAATCAAACATCCAATTTCTAAAGTTAACAAAAGTATGGCAGCTTTGTACTCTTTCGCGCAGTAGATAATTGTACTGAGTATTCCTAAGCTATTCTGTAACTTGAATTGATATGATATTCGTCGCAGAAACAGAATTTTAGATATAAGGCAAATACATTTTGATGTTCGTGTCGCTACCCACTTACTTGACATAATTGAGTCTAAGATTTTCGTAGTTAATTTGGAACACCTTTCCTATGTTTCCTACACCCAACAGGAAGAACCCGATACCAGTACCAGACAGAGAAATACGACACACATAATATAAAGTTCCAGCATTATTTATAATAATAATAGTCAATAATAGTAATATGGCTTCTATCAGTTTATAAGGGTAACAAAAGGGGTACAAAGACAATTGTTGTCAGAACTCAAAATAAATATAATCATATCACAGAAGGCTTACTACGAACAATCTTCAAATGACAATATATATAGCATTTGATTAGTATTCAGAGTAATAAAACAGCCATATCAATTGATTATGTATGAGACTTTAACCAACGTTTACAATGACGTAATGATAAATATGATTGTATGGTACATTTGTATCATCAAATCGCGGTGAAAGGCTAACTGAGCCGTTGCTTGCCTTAACATGTTTTACTTATTGTTGTGCCACAAAATGTGTTACTTAGACAATAAGACAAATATAATATTACCTTATCTATGAAATGTACGATTCAAGTAATTAAATAAACGTTATGTATTGGTATGTTTTCCTTTATGACGACAACACTCATCCCTAGGGTCATAATGATACATTGTAATACACCTGTCCATACGACCGCATTGATTCCGCCCAGTACAGAGATACAAGTATACATTATAAAATATCCGTCCACACCACCGCCTCGAGTCCGCCCTGTATAGAGATATAATAAAGCATTATAAAACATCCATCCACACGACCACCTTGTGTTCGCCCTAAACAGAGATATAATTATACATTATAAAACATCCGTCAACACCACCGCCTTAAGTCCGCCCTGTACAGAGATATAATAAAGCATTATAAAACATCCATCCACACGACCACCTTGTGTTCGCTCTGTACATATTTATAATAATACATTATAAAACATCCATCCACACGACCACCTTGAGTTCGCTCTATCATAAATATGTACACAGAGGCCGCTTGACATCTTAATTCATTAACACACCCGCCATGTACCAACATATGACATAAGATAACGCTACCATTCCGTCTACTGGACCGACCGTATTCCGCACTGTACAGATAAATGATAATAAAAAAGCCATATTCAAGTGCGACGTTTTATATCCCAATGCTCATCTACACCGCATCAAACATTTACCGTCATTGAATTAATAAAGAAAATTATATAATAATTTATGTTTTATCAAGTTCACTTCGGTAAACATTTATTTAAAATGAATGAAAAGTATTGAGCAAAACATTAATCACACCCTCAACAACATGAGAAAAACCTTATATCTCCGATTGTCCAGTATTTATATCATAGTCCTAATTATTATCTTACAAATACATGTATATCCGTCGCATACTTCAATACTCACGTTGCAGTTATTATTGGAATAGCCTGATTAATTCCCTGATAATATTAATTCCCTGATAATATTTTAGCACATCACGTGATAAAATGCTAACTATTCATCGGCTGTTGATATATATTCTATGTATTTAGTCATTGAGCAACGCTGTGAACAGACAAGTTCTCCTTGACAAGAAAGTACTTCTTTTTTCTAAACAGGTGCTATGATCATTGACAGCAAGCGTTTTTCTAGGAGGTACTTCAATGAAAGTTCATATATTCAATCAAAGCTGTCATCAGGTAAACAAAATACAGAAACACCTTATCATTTGACAACAGTTCTATTTTATCTGACTCATTGAGTATAGTTCTAGTGACAAGTCATGCACACAGTTCCACAAGGATTTTTCATTTCATTTCAACAAATTTTATTGACAAAGTTGATACAAGTCANGTATTATTTATTTTTATAACATTTTACAATTGTATATAAGCTATATAGCTATCAAATCACACAGATATTGGCAGACATTGACCAAAAGTCCATGTGCAAATATATGCACAGGTCACAGTCGCCAAAACTGTTAAGGTATTGTAGTTTAATATGAAAATAGATAGCTAGTCTATGTGTAATTCAATGTATAAGATGGAAACTGTAAAACAAGACAGATTGAACAAATCTTACAACAAACAACAACAAACAAACATGCTCAACTTAAAACTCCTATGTCCGTAGAAGAATAACATTTATAGAAAAGTAGGTAAAGTTACTTATTTGTGGAGTATAATTGGAATAGGAATAGTAAAGTATAAAAGTATAAAGTATAAGGTCATGGCTGGTTAGATCATATAGAGATTAAAACGCCTAGATTTACCAATAAATAACTGTACATCATTAAGTAACTGTCTGTTTGTTAGTCCATCACAATCAGGACAGCCTTGTAGAAAAATGTTTGTATCAATATGGTTATGATTTCCATAATTATCAACAGAAGTAAATAAAGTAAGTCTGAGATCATTATACAATGGACATTCAAGAAAGTAATGGAAAACTGTTTCATATTCAAAAGAGCAAGCACAAGAGGGACAGTCAGTTAAATGGTCATTGAATAAATCAAAATTTAAATTGCTACATAAGTTTCTAAGTTGACAAAGAATAATGTTGGCCCGTCTATCACCTTCAGTTTTAAAAATTAAGGTTGATTCATTATCGATAATAATATCTTTATTTAGTTTGTGTTTAAAGGTTGCAAGAGTTGGGGAGTTTAAGAGATCATTATCAGTAGTGTTAGTTGTGCGGCACATTAGAGGGAGGAAACTGTCAAAATAATTGTTAGTTCTACATATTGGTGGATTAAACAGTCTTGTTTGTCTGAGGAAATAGGGATTATTGTTTTGATTGTTAATGAAAGGATTATAAGCTATATAGATTTAAGACATCTTGTAAGTATTGAGGTGACAGTCCATGCATTATTTTATACATCATTATGTGTTTGTGTTTATTTCTTCTTGTTGACAGAGTTTCCCAACCAAGTTCATTATAAAGTTTATTATGAGATGTTCCAGATCGAAGTCCAGTAATGATTCTGGCTGCTTCTAATTGAATAGATTCTAGAAGTTCTTTAGATTGTTGAGTGCAATTATCCCATACTATGTCTGCATATTCCAAAATTGGCATAATAAATGCTATATAAATTTAAATATGATTTACGATTGACTTTAGTTTTAATGTAACGAAGAATATTTAATCTATTATAAGCTTTTTCATATATATTCAGAATGTGTTGTGTTGAATGTGATGCATCACCTTTTAAAGTCAGTCCTAAGTGTGTATGTGCTGTTGAGTCAGTGATTTGGCTGTTTTGGAAAGTTATTGGAGGGTGATGTTTGTTATGTTTTCTAGAAAATATTACAGATTTAGTTTTGTTAGGGTTGAATTTGATGTCCCATATACCTGCCCATTCACCAATGTTAGAGAGATCATTTGTCAGAACTTGTGCTGCATGTGCTGGGTTTTCATCTATAATTACATATAAGTAGGTGTCATCTGCAAAAAGCTTAATATTAGTTGAAACATTGTCAGTGATGTCATTAATATAAAGGAGAAATAGTAAAGGTCCCAGAACAGATCCCTCAGGTATCCCTGCATTTATACCCTTAAACTGTGAGTGATAACCTTCAGTGGTGACTCTTTGCAATCTATCAGAGAGATACTTTTCAAACCATAAAAGTAAATTTCCATCGATTCCATACGTTTTAAGTTTATGTAAGAGACCTTTTTGCCACACCCTATCAAAAGCTTTGCTAATATCACAAAAAATAAATCTGAGCTCCTTCCCCTGGTCCATATTGCTAACAATATAACAACTAGAAATGAAAAAAAAAAATGATACTTACCTGGTTCGCGTTCCTGATAATACCAGCTTGTGTAGAAACCCTGCAACTAGATTCTTCCCTGGTTCGCGTTCCTGTTAATACAAGCTTCAGTAGAAAGTTGGTGACTAGATACTTACCTGGTTCGTGTTCCTGATAATACCAGCTTGCGTAGAAACCCTGTGACTAGATATTTCCCTGGTTCGCATTCCTGTTAATACCAGCTTCACTAGATACCTGGTGACTCGATACTTACCTGGTTCGCGTTCCTGATATTAACAGCTTGCGTAGAAACCCTGTGACTAGATACTTACCTGGTTTGCGTTCCTGATAATACCAGATTCAATAAAAACCTGGTGACTAGATACTTACCTGGTCCGCGTTTCTGATAATACCAACTTCAGTAGAAACCTGGTGACTAGATACTTACCTGGTTTGCGTTCCTGATAATACCAGCTTCCTTAGAAATCTGGTGACAAGATACTAACCTGGTTCGCTTTCCTGTTAATACCAGCTTCAGTAGAAACCTGGTGACTAGATATTTACCTGGTTCGCGTTCCTGATAAAACCAGCTTCAGTAGAAACCTGTTGACTAGATATTTAACTGGTTTGCGTTCCTGATAATAGCAGCTTGCGTAGAAACCCTGTGACTATATACTTACCTGGTTCGCGTTCCAGTAAATACCAGCGTCATTAGAAACCTGGTGACTTGATATTTACCTGGTTTGCGTTCCTGATAAAACCAGCTTCAGTAGAAACCTGGCGACTAGATACTTACCTGGTTCGTTTTCCTTATAATACCAGCTTCAGTAGAATATTTGACTGGGCGAATACAGATTTTACCATTGAAGGTGAACATTTGACTGGTCGAATACAGATTTTACCAGTGAATGGTGAATATTTGGCTGGGCGAATACAGATTTTACCAGTGAAGGGTGAATATTTGACTGGGCGAATACAGATTTTACCAGTGAAGGGCGAACATTTGACAGTTCGAAAGTTTCCGGGTATACAGTATATCTTTAATAATAACACAATTCACATAAAATTTATCAAATTGTTTTAATGCAACGGATTCACATATTTTTGCAACACTATGTTTCATATTTTCAAGAAAACAATACAATCTGAAACTTTATATAAAGCACTGGAATAATGAAATACACCTCTAAAGTAAACGTGGTATTTCAGTTACCAACAAAGGAATTCGCAATCAGACGAATTCATCACCTCACCTTAGCTCAGTTTCAGGAACTGACCTCATTTTAAGTCTTTATTAAGTGAAACATCTTCGTTGACCTGGTTCATGTCTTAAGTAAATGTCTATGTCTTTTTATGGATTAATGGAGGCGGAAAATGTAGTTAAGACCACCTCTCAACAATGCACCCATCCATCATGTTCTATGCATCTAAAACGACAGGTATACGATTCAGTGTCCTTTGTTCTTTATGAAAACAATTTTACCTGAAAATCAGGTACATGTGTATTGATGCTTCTTTCTTTTCATTTATGTATTATGAGTGTCTTATATAGGAAGTTTGTACGCCAGATCTGTGGACTCTAAATTTAAGTTAACGAGCTTTTACCGAACCTTGATTAAAAAAACACATGACAAAAATAAACAAACTTTTAAGTTAATTGTCTTCATAAGTCTTGCATGACATGAACACCGATAAAATATAAGCGCATACATCCTCTTTATAACATAGTATGTACACTAGTCAGTATGTGTAGTTTAGTCGTATATATATATGTATGCATTTCATGGTAATAAACGCATACTACAATTCTATTTTGCTACATTGACGTCATCTGACTAAGGTCTACAACTCTACATCCTCAAAATTTCAGCGCCCCTGGAATATTACATGACAAAATCGAAAGCTCTGGACGCACTGCTTCATTTATACAAGTAGATAAGTCTAATCATTTGCGACCCATCAATAGAATTTCGCGGCAGTGTAACGGTACATTTGACCGGCTTTAAAGTAATGTGTCCTTTTTACAAAAACTTCAAAGGACATGTATCACTTAGCGATTTGTCAAGTTCTTTTTATAATGAGACCATCAAATTGCAAACTGTGTACCTTCAATTTTATCATGACATGCTCTAAGGGTGCAGAGAACGTATGCAAGCGTAACACCTCAAAATTCAGGAGATGGCAATGCTTATTTGTGCTACTACAAATGTATGACGTCATAATATACACGTAAATATTAACTAATAAAACATGGTGGTTTGTTTTGCCTTGTCACTTTGCACAAACTAATGGAATTTCTATCTTACACCCATATCCCTTCCGTGACGTCGCATTGGGATAGAAAAATGACGTGACGTCATAAAATTAAAAACAATCATATGCCGCGATACGATTTTTTTCTGAGCTCATTCTGGTGATTGGAATGAGAAAAACATACACGTTGAAATAAGATCTGTATCATTCAAAGAGTGTTTAGCTGACATGCTATAAAAAATGTAGAAGAAGATAGCCGGACAAAAATCAAATACTGAAATAAACAAAGGTCAATAATTATTGGGATGTCATAATGAGAAAAGGCTTGAAGACAAATGCCGATATTGGAAAATGCTGTTTTTATCGATATTTGGTTATGTGATAAACATAATCTTATATTAGTTTTTATACGTGATTTATGAAAGTAATCACGATTATATACTTCAGCACAAATGTGGCTAACTAAATAGCCTGAAAAGGTAACTTTGTTTTAAACACAAACAGGAATTTAAAACTTATTTTGCGAACTTTCGAAAACGTATGTTCCCTTTGTCAAGCAAAGAGTGAAAATGGCCGGTGTCTCTGCTCTAAACTGCTAAAAACAACTCATTAAGCCACAGTGGGCCAAATCATTAAATCAGCTGTTTGACATTTTACATTCGATTTACAAAAAACTTGTTTTATAGTCTCATATAAACTAGAAAATCATGTAATATTTTCAATAAGCAATGAATTTATATAAATACAATATAACGTGTTACATACAATATTTAATCAAATCTGCTAAAAGGGACCACGATCCTCAGAGACTTTGAGTGTATGACGCCACTTTTAAAACGCCCAATTACAATACTCTTGTTCATGTTAACTTACATTTACAATTTAAAAACCCCATACACACTCTAAAATAAATGTGGTTCAGTCATATGCCAAAAAAACCCCAAAACAAACAAAAACATTTTTAGATACTCATGCAAACGGTAATTCAGCTTCTTCTAAAAAAGATATTTAATTCCAGTAATATAGTAGTAGTTACGAATAAGAAGGTTATTCCTTGCCATATGGTTAAAGTCATTTACATTTTTTGAGTGATGTATTCACATTGTGAAAATAAAAAATAAAAAAGTAAGTAACAAAAGAATGAATGCAGTTTCCAGCAAAATGAAAACAAATACCACATATATTCAAAATCAGTAAAACAAAATAATGTTATCACTCAATGGAAAAGAACCTGGAGTCATTGACATCGTAAATACATATAAAAGAAAATGTCTTTCTATGATGTAATAATACTTTTTAATGTCAGTATATATCTCCTCCTTTTTTGAATATCCGGAGAAAACCAACGTGTTCGGGCAGGTGGCCCCATACATTTTCAGTTAATCAGTGCATTATGAAAAGCTGGCGCAGCTGCGCTGTCCATTTCAGGCGCAAATGCGTTGCCCGACTGTAGTCTGTATGAAACACCTCCAATAGCTGCATGGCATTCGGGGCAGGTCCCCTGCGTCGTTGCACCACCACAGTCTCCAATAGCGTACACATGTCCTGTAATTAAATACAAAAAAACCTATTATAGCATGTAATTATACAAATGAAAAAAATGCATGCAATTGCCGATATAAAATGATAAATATGAAGCACATTCCTTAATACAGGTTATATTTGTTGTAACAGTTGTATTGCCTTTGGCATCAGACGACTTTACGTAATATATATGTAAAAAAGAATTGCATGTCCATTCAGGTTTATTTCAAAAGGGCAACACCGTTACGTCAAAATTATCTGCCATCACACTACAATAGTAGCGTGACGTCACAATGTACAAAAGAAAGAAGACCCTTTAATCAAAATATTAAAACTGATCCCAACAGGCCACAGCAATTTTTGCGCCATCAATCTTGCATATATTGTGACGTCATGTTGCTATTGTAGTATGATGACATATAATTGTGACGTCATGATGTTTTGCTTTGGAAATACACCTGATGAGCCATATGAAGGACGAAAGCAGCTTGTTTTCTCTAGTCGGTCGTTAGAACTGTTTGTCTATAATTCTACACTTTACATTGACATTTGATCTTTTTTATTATATATATCCATATATGTATTTACAAATGTATATATTAGACTAGTCTGAAGAATCTCCTAGAAGAGATGAAAGTACTAAATCCTCGTTGTTAAGGATTTTTCTTTTAATAATATTTCTTCGTCCGTAAGGATCATTATGCTGATTTTATTGTATATATATTCAAATATTTACTTTGCTTTGAAAGATCACTACTTAACAATTTTTAAAGCGTTTAATAGATATTTACCATTTGGACATTTAAACCAGTGTCCCTTCCCCATACCCATAGCCTGGTTGATTTGAATCCGTTCCTCTTCTGTAATCCCAAGCCCTGTTTTAGGGACGACTTCTTTCAGCATCTTCAATGTGTGTTTAACTTTCTTCTGCTTTGGCTCAGTGAACTTCATCCCATCGGTAAGCATCTTTTCTGCCACCTGTATTCTTCTCTTTAAGTCGTCGTCCAATGCAACGTTTCTATTTCTAATTTGTGTTTTATACAGGAGAAATTTTTTAAGGAGTGTTAGTCTACATATTTCATCGATAACGTCAGTAGTTTCCTGTTGTGTGAAGTACGTCCTTTGTTTGAGTATCCATAGCCGAACACGACCTATGTGGTCCTTTGCTTGTTTAAATACGGCCTCCAAATCTCGAGATGGCTCTACGTCCCTGTATTTTCTTCTCAGATCATTTAGTCGTTTGAGGAAAACTGTCTGATTCTGGACGGTTACTAGAGTTTCCTCCCAGAGTTTGCCGATTAAATGCGGCTTGATGCGGTTGTGACTTGAAATGTCTTTTTCCTCTAGTATCGCTTTGAACTTTTTCATCACGATAATGTTATCCCTTGGTTCCAATTCGGATATTTCATCTGGAATTTCATCCAAAAGAACTTTTATTCTTTGTTCGTCGCCGAGTGGTTTTCGTTTGACTTGCTCGATATTCCTCAAAGTCTGCTTTATTATATTTCCGTATCGCAAATTTTTGCGAATTGGTGTTTTGCATTTGGGACATCCTTTAAGTAAAATTTCATTCTGCTCATCAGTAGAAGCTTGGTCCATATAGGTGTCCATGGCACTGACTTCGATAATATGGCCACAGTCCTCTAGCTGTATGAATCTCGCATCAGGTTCATCTTCATCTCCGAAAAATATTTCTGTCACAACATCTCTGTGACAAACTCTGCAAAGTGAAGGGCATTTTTCTCCACACATTCCTATGCATTGATGATTGCATTTGAGTCTCTTCTTGCACGGGTTGTTGCATCGGGGACGCTCGCACGGTTCATTACACAAATTCGTACAGGTATAGTGCTGACATGTCCATTCACACCTCTCGTTACAAGCTGCGCATGGTTCCCCACAGGGGTTCTGGCATTTACTGTGAATGCAGCGATTTTCACAAACTCTTTTGCATGGTGGGCATCTAGAACATCGATCCGCGCACTCGTGACCACAAATTAAGGTTCGGCCACATACCATTGTACAGGCTTTGTGAAGTCTTCCCATCAGGCATGACCCACAGCTTCCAGAACAAAGATGTTCACATCCCAAGATATCCTGACATTGTTCAACGCACTCTTTCGTGACTTTTTCTGAGCATTTTACCATTCCAGCGTGTCTACAAGATGGCCAGGACTTAAGGACAAGTTCCTGACACTCTGTTGTATGATCCTCTCCACATGCCTCTGCACATCGGTGTCCACACGGTAAGTTTTCTTCACACCTTTCTTCACAGCGGAAGTAGTTAGGATCGATTTGACAAGGAACTGCCTGTGTGTGACCACATTGCGGTATCTTTTTCGGCATAAGAATTAGACATTCACCACACTTTTGGTAGCACATCTTTTTGCATTTATGACCGTTAGTGCAAATCTTACGCTCACAACGTTTTCTGCATTGCACTTTTTCATGCTTTTGGTCTAGTATGTGACAGACCATACTGCAGGTATGGCCACATTCAAGACGGAACTGGCATGGCTTCATACATCCACCCTCAGGAGCTTTTCGGAAATCCCCAGGTACTTTGGCCATGAGTCCTTTGTCTTCTGGGTGATTTTGACAAACAAGTCTTAGACCTTCTCCGATCATCCTCTCTTTCTGTGCATGAGAAACAATGTTCTTCCAAAGCTTGCTTCCTTGTGCCATCATATCCATGTTTCCTATAACAAACATGCCCTTTTTAGCCCGAGACAACGCAACACAAACTCGATTGTCGATTTTCAAAAATCCTATTTTTCCGTCACTGTTACTCCTGACAAGTGACAGTAGAACAATGTCATTTTCTTCCCCTTGAAAGTTGTCGACAACGGTAATGTGAACGCCACTGAATGTTTGCTTTGGCATTTCCTTTTTAATGGTAAACAGCTGTCCAGAGTAGAGCGTGAGGATGGTGATCTGCTCTGGTTCGTAACCTTGTAGCAGGAAGTACTTGCAGAGCCCAGCAATGTACTTGGCTTCATGACTGTTTGAGTGACTCTTCAGGTCGTGATCTTCTTGTTCTGGAAAACTGTGGTTTATGAAGAAAGCATTGGTTGTAATCCCCTTGACTTTATCGTATGTCTTTACAATGCTGTGATCTTTCAACTCCGGGTATATCAACGTCATGATCTTTGAAATTTCTGGCCGCATCCTGTGTTGAAGTCCAAGGCAATCAAGCTCAATGTCATTTTTTATCATCCTTTCAAACAATGACAGGTCTAAATTGTAATCTTTAGCAAGTTTGTAGACTGTTGGATTTGGCCTGAGTTGTTTGTGGTCTCCGATGAGGATCAGATGCTGGCAGTGTCTGCTGAGTGTTGCGACTACATGCGCTTCCAACACCTCTGCTGCCTCCTCCACAACTATCACTCTTGGACCAATTTCCTGCAAGACTGCCTGGTACTTTGCTGCACCCGTGGTTGTCATTCCGACCACGGTCGCCCGTCTGATAATTCCCTTGTCCTCATGCATTAAAATTTCGCGGTGCTGATCACATGCAGATTGGTATTCTTGAACTTTTTCTCTGATCCTCTCCATCATCATAACTGAGAACTTGTTAATCCAATACCTGTATAGTCGCCATCTGTCTTTCAGGCTCAACTGCCAAACGTCATAAAGCATGTGGATTTCCGTTTCATCCATTCTGTCTGATGATACGAGCTCTCTTCGTAATCGTTTTTTCAGATCTTTCTTTTGCTTTTTTATTATTTTCCAATCATTATTTCGGTTTTCGTCCTTTCCAACCAAGTTGGTTATATTCAATGCTACGTTGTTCTTGTTTAAGTTTATCTTCAGCATGTCAGATTCCGCTTTTTCCATTTCTGTGTCAAAAACATTGTCAAAATCTTCATCGATTTCCCTTTGAGCAATCATAACATCTACCTCATCAATAACATCGATGAACTCTTCCTCCTCTTCGTTGTCATCGCCTTGAGCTACAGGTAATTCCAAAACGTCGGCGTCCAATTGTGCCCGATCTTCCGGTTGATGTTGGACCTCTACGTTTGCTGCCGCTGCAGCAGCAACAAAAGCATCTTGGCCCCCTCCACCCCTCAAATCAGCGTTTTGCTCATTCTTGTCAACTACAAGTGTATCGATACCTAGCCAGACCAATATAGCAGCGTGTTTCTTTCTTTGTCGAGTTGAAAACCTTTTGTCGAAATAGTTGAACATGTGTTCTGTATCAACGATATCTGCGTAAAATCTCCCCATGAACGATTCTAGCACATCTTCGTTTAAAAGCTCTCGGTTAGCAATTTCTAAGGAACCCGAGATACGGTTTATTGCGTCTTGGAGGTCTTTTATTTGGTTCCTTGCGTTCCTTCTTCCACGATGTATTTCCTCTGGTACCTCTCGTTTTTCCCGCATTCGGGAGCGCATATTGTTCAAGCTAAACCGTTTCATTGCTTCACTTGAACTCCTTCCACCGACTCTTAGTATGGATCCTTTGAAAAAAGAGCTTATGCCTTCGATGAACTGATCGAGGGCATGGTTAGTATAGCAGACTACAAGCATCGGCCTGCAGTCTGGCTCTTGTGTTTCTTGATCGGTGTTCCAGAGGGCGTGGTTGTGGAGGAGAGCTTTCACTATCTTAAGTCCGATATAGGTTTTGCCTGTTCCTGGAGGACCCTGGGTGAGGACAAACTCACTGGTAAGTGCTCGCTTAACCGCACGAAACTGAGATTCATCAAGATGTAACAGCTCCGAGTTAGGCCACACACCCTTAGGTTCTACCGACCTCGCGACGGCCGCCTTGTCACTGAATTCTTTATTCAGAGGTTGAAGTGCCTGTTGCCTAACACTTCTTACTATGAAATGTTCATCTACAAGCGGTCGCAAGTCAAGTTTTGCATCTTGGTTTTGTCTCAGGTAAAGGGGAGCTTGCATCTTAGTGTTGCATTTAATTATGTACTTTTCAAATGGAAGATCGCCTTCATTGATGTTTTGAAGGCCTTTCAAGACGTGCCGATAAGCTTCAAAATATGCCACCGTTTCTGCCATGACATATTTCTTGTTGAAATCCAGATTGAAATTTCTCTTAATCAAGCCTTCAAACTTTATGTCCAAAATTCCTTCTTCGAGATTTTTGGCGTCTCGCTCGGCGACGGTGGCGAACAGTAGAGTTTTAAAGTTATCATTCGAGAGACAAACCAAAGAACCGAAAATGAGACGCTTACTCGACTCCCAGTTCACATACTGCATTCTGCTGACGTCAAAACAGATTCGATGACAAAGCCCATTATTTGTTCCGATCGGGCATATCACCTTGACGTCATGATAAACACGCATTTCGTTTGAACGTTTTGATTTTCCAGTCTGTACTGCTGTTATATAACCATGGATTCCCTCCCGTAGAGGTCCCACAAAGTCCTCCCGCAGCAGTCTGAACTGGACGTCGAGGTAGTGGGCAAGGTCTTTGAAAGCTCCTTCTCTGATGTTCCTACGCAGAAACGGACCTTCTTCCATCTGAATATCAGATTTTTCAGGGAACACGGACATCTCCCGAAAGTTATCTGGAGGTTCGTCCTCATCATGTCTCACAGCGGTTCCTTCTTTCCTTCTTGATCTTTTCTGCACTTCCTCAAGCATTTGGTCTTTCAGCGTGCAACAATCATCAAAAGCCTTTAACAAATCATCGTCTATGATTTCGGTCGTCGCTCGAAGTATTTTTAAAACCGTATCCAGAATCCCAATTACACCAAAGACAGATGTTATTGAGCTAGGACTCCGACGGGCGATCTCTGAAATGATGCATATGGAGTCGTGAAGAGGTTCTTTGAATTTTCGTTGTCTGTTAGGAGATTGTTCCGACTTCATTCTTACAATGAAAGCTGGAAGTGTGGTATCGATGAAAGTAGAATTGTGTACCAGAGTCAGAAGCTGTATGATTTTTGCCGGAGCGGATTGACACTGACAGGCCTTCGCTATACACCTTAGAAACAGGGTGACAAAGTCCCTGCTGAGTGTAGCGTCATTCAATCCCTCCTGGAGTCCACTATCGGAGTGAGCTATTGATATAAGAATATCAGAAGGCTCCTTATGTTGTAAGTCGGTAAGTTTCTTAAAGCCTAGGCATGTTTTCCACGGACGCGGAACTTTACCCTGATCGTCATAACGACCTCCTCCTCGTGCTCCTCCTCGCCGTCGTTCTCCTCCGCCGCCTCCTCCTTCCCCACCTCCTCTATCATCTGCTACCCTTCTGTCTCCTCCACTTCCTGCTCTTCCCCCTCTATCTCCACCTCTACGCCTTTCTCCTCTGTCCTCGTCCATTCCTCAAATCATAACACTACAGCTGATTAAAGGCTTACGTACGTATTATCGTGAAGATCTGAATCATCCTGGTTTCTCCGTCTGAAAGTACATCAAAACAAGAAGGCATTTTTGGTAAAAAGTTTCGTTGCACTTGGTTGCATTTTCATAAGTGATATAACATGTTGCGTACAAAAACCAAATTTACACGAACAGACATTAACAACACGCAATGTAACATCATATACATGGACAAACAATTATGATAAATATGCTCTATTATATTACACACACAAAGATAGCATGTTTGCTCTTTACAGCAAGACTTTGTCATAAGCATTTACATCAAAACTAATTACATTGAATCTCAACCTCATGCTATCTCCGACTTTGCACTAGAACACAAAAAACAAAGTGTTCTCTAATTCTTCTTACATAAGGTGAGATTACAGGTCGAAATATGCATCTTACTTCCTCTTAGAACATACCTCCTCCAATAACACATTTCCCCGTACACCATACCACCTCATATAACACATCTCCTCATACACCAAACCCCCTCATAAACACATCTCCTCATACACCATACCCCCTCATAAAACACATCTCCTCATACACCATACCCACTCATATAACACATCTTCTTATAAACCATACTCCCTCATGTAACACATCGCCTCATACACCTTTCCTCCCATATAACATAATCCTCATATACCATACCCCCTCATATAACACATTTCCTCATACACCACACACCCTCATATAACACATATCCTCATACAACATACCGCCTGATATAACACATTTCTTCATAACCATACCACCTTACATACACTATTTTCTCATACACCATACCCCTCATACACCATACCAAATCATTTATAACATCTCTTTATACACCATACCCCCACATATAACACATCTCCTCATACATCATATCCCCTCATATATAACATTTCCTCAAACACCATATCCTCTCATACAACACATCTCCACATACACTTTACCCCCTCAGATAACATCTCCTCATACACCATACCCCCTCATATAACTCATTTTCAAATACACCATACCCCCTTATATATAACATCCCATCATACACCATACCCCCTCATATATAACATTTCTTCAAACACCATACCCCCTCATATAACACATCTCCTTATATACTATACCTCTCATATAACACATCGCTTAATACACGATACCTCTCATTTAACACAACCCCTCATAATCCATACCCCCTCAGATAACACTTCTCCTTATACACCAAACCCCTTCATATAGCACAACTCCTCATACACCATACCCTCTCATATAACACAACTCCTCATACACCATACCCCCTCATATAACATTTCTCCTCATACACCATATCACCTCATATAACAAATTTCCTCATAAACCATACCCCCTCATATAACATCTCCTCATACACCATTACCTCTCATATAAAACATCCCCTCATACACCATACCTCCTCATATAACACATCTCCTCACACACCATACCTACTCATATAAAACACATCTCCTCATACATCTCACCTACTCATATAACACATATCATCATACACCATACCCCCTCATATAACACATATCCTCATACACCATACCTTCTCAAATAACACATCTTCTCATACACCATACCTCCTCCTTTAACACATCTCCGTATACACCATACCCTTTGTATAACACATATCCTCATACACCATTCCCCCTCATATAACATTTCTCCTCATACACCATATCACCTCATATAACAAGTATCCTCATAAACCTTACCCCCTCATATAACATCTCCTCATACACCATTACCTCTCACATAAAACATCACCTCTTACACCATACCTCCTCATATAACACATCTCCTCACACACCATAACTACTCATATAAAACACATCTCCTCATACAACATACTGCCTGATATAACACATTTCTTCATACACCATACCTCCTCATATATAACATATCCTCATACACCATACCTCCTTATACATAACATATCCTCATACACCATAACTCCTCATATATAACACATCTTCTCATACACCATACCCCCTCATACACTATACCCAATTATATATAACATCTCTTTATACACCATACCCCTCTTATAACACATATCCTCATACACCATACCTCCTCAAATAACACATCTTCTCATACACCATACCTCCTAATATAACACATCTCCTCACACACCATACACCCTCACATAACACATCTCCTCATACACCATAAGCCCCTCATATATAAAATCTCCTCAAACACCTGCCCCCTCATATATAGCACATCTTCTCATACACCATACCCCCTCATATAACATTTCTCCTCATACACCATATCACCTCATATAACAAGTATCCTCATAAACCTTACCCCCTCATATAACATCTCCTCATACACCATTACCTCTCACATAAAACATCACCTCTTACACCATACCTCCTCATATAACACATCTCCTCACACACCATAACTACTCATATAAAACACATCTCCTCATACAACATACTGCCTGATATAACACATTTCTTCATACACCATACCTCCTCATATATAACATATCCTCATACACCATTCCTCCTTATACATAACATATCATCATACACCATAACTCCTCATATATAACACATTTCCTCATACACCATACCACATTATATACAACATCTTCTCATACACCATACCCCCTCATACACTATACCCAATTATATATAACATCTCTTTATACACCATACCCCTCATATAACACATATCCTCATACACCATACCTCCTCAAATAACACATCTTCTCATACACCATACCTCCTAATATAACACATCTCCTCATACACCATACCTCCTCATATATAAAATCTCCTCAAACACCTGCCCCCTCATATATAGCACATCTTCTCAGACACTATACCTCCTCCTTTAACACATCTCCTGATGCACCATACCCTTTGTATAACACATATCCTCATACACCATACCTCCTCATATAATATATCTCCTCATACACAATACCCTTCATATAACACATCTCCTCATACACCATACCTCCTCATATAAAACACATCTCCTCATATAACATACCGCCTGATATAACACATTTCCTCATACACCATACCTCCTCATATATAACATATCCTCATACACCATACCTCCTCATACATAACATTTCCTCATACACCATACCACATTATATACAACATCTTCTCATACACCATACCCAATCATATATAAGATATCCTCATACACCATTCCTCCACAAATAACACATCTTCTCATACACCATACCTCCTAATATAACACATCTCCTCACACAACATACACCCTCACATAACACATCTCCTCATACACCATACACTCTCACATAACACATCTCCTCATACACCATACCCACTCATATAATACATCTCCTCATATACCCCCTCATCTACCATTTGCCCTTATATATCACATCTCTTCATAGACCATACCCCATCATATAACACATCTCCTCATACACCATACCTCCTCATATATCACATCTCCTCATACATCATACCTTCTCATATATAACATCTCCTCATACACCATATTCCCTCATATACTCATCTCCTTATACACCATACCCTCTCATACACCATACCCCCTCATATAACACATCTCCTCATACACCATATCTCCTCACATAAATATCCTCATACACCATACCCCCTCATATAACACATATCCTCATACACTATACAACCTCATATAACACATCTTCTCATATATCATACCTCCACATATAACACATATCCTCATACACCATACCCCCTCATATAACACATCTCATCATACATCATACTATTTCATATATAACATTTCCTCATACACCATACTCCCTCATATAACACATCTCCTCATACACTATACCCACTCAGATAACACTTCTCCGCATACACAATATCGCCTCATATATAACATCTCCTCATACACCATACCCCCTCATATAACTCATTTACTCATACAGCATACCCCCTCATATAACACATCTCCTCATATACCCCCTCATACACCATACACCCTCATATAAAACATCTCCTCATACACCATACCCCCTCATACACCATACCCCCTATTACACCATACCGCCTCATATAACACATCTCCTCATACACCATACCCCCACATATAAAACATCTCCTCATATACCATACCTTCCATATAACACATCTCCTCATACACCATACCCCCTCAGATAAAACATCTCCTAATACACCATACCCCCTCATACACCATACCTTTCATATAACACATCTCCTCATACACTATACCCCCTCAGATAACACTTCTCCTTATACACAATATCCCTTCATATATAACATCTCCTTATACACCATACCCCGTCATATAACTCATATACTCATACACCATACCTCCACATATATCACATCTCCTCATACATCATACCTTCTCATATATAACATCTCTCATACACTATATTCCCTCATATAATCATCTCCTTATACACCATACCCAATTATATAACACCTCCTCATACACCATACCCCCCTCATTTAACACATCTCATCATATACCCCCTCATACAACATCCCCCCTCATATAACTCATCTCCTATTACACCATCCCCCCTCATATAACACATCTCCTCATACACCATACCCCCTCAGATAACACTTCTCCGTATAACCCATACCCCCTCATATAACACATCTCCTCATATACCCCCTCATACACCATACACCCTCATATAAAACATCTCCTCATACACCATACCTCTTCATATAACATCTCATCATACACCATACCCCCACATAAAACACATCTCCTCATACACCATACCCTCTCATATATAACATCTCCTCCTACACCATATCATCTCATATACCACATCTCCTCATACACCATACCCCCTCATATAACACATCTCCTCATACACCATACCCCCTCATATAACTCATTTCCTCATACATCATACCCTCTCATATAATACATCTCCTCATATACCCCCTCATCTACCATTTGCCCTTATATATCACATC